TCCCTCTGCCCTACCAAAAAATTATGTTCACATTTCTAAAGTTCAAGTAAGAATCAGCAAAATTACCATGTTTTATTTCCATCTATCATGGTAGCTTGTGATTTAAAACACACACACACACACACACACACACACACACAACTTTTCTTTCTATACATTCAGAACAGATTCTTTTCTCTGGTTTTGTCTGGAAGTGGAGAAATAATTCCTAGCTGGAATGACCCCATTCAGCTATTTCACAGTCAAGTAAAACGCCAAAGTAAATGGCCCATGAAGCCCCATTCTTTATATATATAAATTTTCCTTAAATCATCCCTGAAAAGGCAGTTTACTCATCCAATGGCTAAATACTTTCAAATCATGCACTAATCAGCCCAAATTTGCAGTCATCCAGTAATACCACACAAGCCAAGTATACCTGCACAGACTTATATGATGTGATGAAAGGGAGCATGAGATGGAAGCCAGGGCCGCTGGTCGAAGTCAGCAGGGCACCGCCTCTGCAGAGGAGGGAGAGAGGTAGGTTCAGTTTAGCAAGAGGGACCTATTAGATCAATGGGGGTCATTTCTCTTAAGCCCTATAAACATTTAATAGTGACGTGCCAGAGTCAAGTCCACAGATCCCTTTGTTCCTCTCAGCTCGACCCTAATAGTCCAAGAAGCCTGATGGTAAAACATAAAACCATTATTCATGCTTTTGCAATGAGAAAACCAGGCACACAGGGTAAGTGGAATAAAGACAGCAGAATCCCTGCCTCTACTTAGATAAGAGAGAAAGTCTATTTTACTTTGTCATATCTGTTGAGCTATCGCAATCCATTAGGGCAGTTAAATCTAGTAATATGGTTATCAATTAATGCACTGATGTTGAAGTCCAGTGACATGACTAGCCAAAGAATAATTTAAGTATACTTTATAAGTCATTTTAGTATATATACATATATATATTGGCAGTAGAGTACATAATATGACAAAATTAAAAGCCTTTTTTGGGAACACATAGAGGGTAGGGAAAAAAGAATTAAAGGAGAGGAGGAACTCAATCAGAGTTTTAGAACTTGCTATCAGCAATCCAGAAGCAAGCATCGTAGGGTACATATAAGGAATTCATAAAGACTCAGAGCAAAAAAACTTGGTAATTTTTTGCTTTATATGATGAAGTAAAAAAAAATGTTGTCTTAAACAAGTAACAGGCCAGGCACAGTGTCTCATGCCTGTAGTCCCAGCACTTTGGGAAGCCAAGGCAGGAGGACTGCTTGAGGCCAGGAGTTTGAGACCAGCCTGGGCAATACAGAGAAACCCTCGTTTCTACAAAAAAATTTTAAAAATTCGCCTGGTGTGTGCATGTGCTTGTAGTCCCAGCTACTAGGGAGGCTGAGACAGGAAAATCGCTTGAGCCTTGGAGTTTGAGGCTGCAGTGAGCTATGATCATATCACTGTACTCCAGCCTGAGTGACACACCAAGAACCCATCTCCTTAAAAATATTATATATTTAATAAGAAGAAACAAGCAATAAAATAAAACAAGCAATAAAATAAAAACAAGCAATAAAATAAAAACAGTGACATATTGGGCTCTTTCATCGTAGGAACCACTAGCCTAAGGCTCGCTTTGACCAACAAAAGTCAACCTGAAGGCTCTATTATTTTTCCTGAAATGTTGTTAATAGCATGCCAAATTAGAAAGCAAGTTATCTTCTCAAGGGGCCATCAAAAACTGGCACTCAGCTTGCTTTTGTTGAGGTTAAGCCAAGACTACCGGGGGGATGCAGAAGAAAAGAGTATTTCAGGGATGAGCTGCAAGGAGCACTGGTTTCCTTTAGGTTTTATCAATCACCATCCATGGCATCATCTTAGATTTCTAAGGGAAGCTCTAAATATATGTGTGTGTGTGTGTGTGTGTGTGTGTGTGTGTGTGTGTGTGTGTGTATGTATTTTTTTCCCCCTTTTTCCATGGTCACTGACATAAAAATCTCAATCTAAAAAAAAATCCCTTCTTTAATATAATAGAAACACAGATATTTCACAGAATTTGCTATACAGTGACTAGGAAAGGAAGCCAATTAACAGGAAGTTGCAAGCTTCTACCTGTCTCTGCCTTACCTGTAATATACCCCAATATGTCCCTCTTCTATCTTGTGCACAGCTGAGAAGAGAGATGCACAAAAGAAACTGGAAGCCACAGCCACAACTGCTCCCAACTGAGCCATCAGTGAACTTTTATCCTAGGGAAAAGAGATGGCAAAATGTGTATGGTCTGGCATGCAGGAGAAAAGCTAGGGCAGGGAGACTATCTCATCAAGCTGAGTTCCCTGAAAGTGACTCATCTCCAGCCTGGTGTAGTGTGAACACAAGGCTGGATCTACAACTCACTTCATCCCCGTTCTCAGTCAACATTCCCACTCCTTAACTGTGGAAATATATACCGCACTAAGGAGGCAGAGGCTCAGGATACAGCCGGTGCCCAAGGAAGAACCAGTGCCAGTTGGGCAGGGTTCAGAACACAGCCTCCTCTTCCTGTGAACATGAAATGTGCTGTCACGGGAGCCTCTCAGACTGGAAGAAGGGAAGAGAGGCAGCTGCGGTACGTCGGCCCAAATTACAGAGGATGTCGAATGACAGGCAGTGTGGCTATGTAATTCTGGTCTGAGCCTCCCAGTCCTAATTGCCTGCCGTTTCAAAGGAAACCATTATTTACTCCTTTCAGATGCTGGAGTGACAGAGACAGCATGCGAGCAGAGGTCCAAGGTAGGATTCCCTGGCCCCGCATCCACCTTCCCAGTTATTCCTTTGGCCCTAAACGGGTTAGGGCTCTGTACCAGACTGAGATCACACTCCCTCCCATACACTTTGGCACTCTGCACCCGACAGGGCCTCAAGCCCGTGATTAGAAAGGAAGGGAGGGCCCCAGACCGGGAGACTCTAGGCTCTTGGGTCCAACTGGGTTCAGGCTCCAGGACGCTAAAGAGTTGGCATCTAGAAACTGACTTCCTGAACACTGAATGGTCTGGAAAAACTATGATGACTGACGGCAAAGTTCAGTGGGGGCGCACGTGGGCCCATCGGGGCAGGGCGTGGATCCTGCCTCCTGGGTCTAACAGAACCCGGGCGCGGACGCCTGCGAGGCACTCATTTTACCGTGGCGGCCTCCAGCTACCGATCTGCAGTTGCGTCCTTTCCGTCAACGTCCTTCCCTCCCCAGGGCCACCCCCGCCCCCTCCGAGAGCGGATCCAGCGCCCTGGGCAGGGGCAAGGGACAGAGCTCCAGGGCCTCCGCTCGGTCTTGTCGGCGGGGAGGAACAGCACAGACTGGGGTTTCTTTCTGGCCCCAGGAGTGGGCGGCGGAGGGAGCGGGGCTGCTGGGGAGGGGGCTCGGGAGGTTTACAGGGCATCCCCGACCGGGAGCGGCGCTAGGCCCACAGCGCGCACGAAGGGGCGGGGGCCGCGTACCAGACTGTCCCTCTGGGCGCTCCGTACTCGTCCGAACCCCCGTGCAACCGCAGAAACCACCACGCCTCTCGCACGCTACTTCCTTCCGGGCTGTCGCTCCGATGACGCCATCAGTTCACGACGGAAGGCCACACCCCACTCTCTCGCTCGCCCGTCCGCCCCGCCCTTCACGTTCCGGGCGGTCAGTGTCAGCCGGTGGCCGCCAGGGATCGCCCGCGGCTCGGATTTCGGGGGTGAGGATGAGGCGAGGGCGGGGGTCGTGGGAGCGCCCGGAGGGTGACGGCAGGACGCGCATGGCCGGGGTTCTGAGACCCAGAGTGTCACTTTCTGAAGTTTTGATTTTGGAGGTTGCTCTGATTCCCTTCCATGTCAGGCCAAACCTGGTTAGTTTTTTATTTTATTTTGTTTTTGGAGCAGGTACTAGCGAGTGGCAGCTGTTCTCTTTCCTGTAACACAGCTGAATGATACAGTCTTTTCCATGTGCAGAATAATATCATTACTTCGCTAATCAACAACTCTACCTTGAATTGTCCTTTATATGTACTTTCCTGGGAGTTTTGGCCCTTGGGATCCCACAACACCATAAAGTAGATTAACAAGGTATTATTATTCCTTTTTTTTTTTTTTTTGAGTTGGAGTTTCATTCTGTCGCCCAGGCTGGAGTGCCGTGGCACATTTACGGCCACTCCAGCGTCGACCTGCTGGGCTCCAGCCGATCCTTCGGTCTCAGCCTTCCAAGTAGCCGGAACTACAGGCATGCGCTGCCACGCCTGGCTAATTTTTGATTCGTTGTAGAGACGTGGGCTCGCCAAGTTGCCTGGGCGGGTCTCGAACCCACTGGCTCAGGCAATCCACTCACCTAGGCCTCCCAAGGTGCTGGAATTTCAGGCTGAGCCACAGAACCCAGCCTATTCTTCCAATTTTAATGAACAGAATCCAAGAAGTTTAGTGAGGTGCGAGGGGTAAAAACAGTCAAGAGATCGGGCACGGAGGCTTATGCCTGTGATCCCAGCACTTTGGGAGGCCGAGGCAGGAGGATTGTTTGAGCCCAGGAGTTCAAGACCAACCTGGACAACATAGGGAGACCTTGTCGCTACAAAAAAATCAAAATTAGCCGGGCATGGTGGTGCATGCATGTAGTCCTAACTGCTCGGGAGGCTGAGGTGGGAGGATCACTGGAGCCAGGAGTTCGAGAGTGCCGTGAAAGCACTTCCCCTCCCCACTCTCACTGCACCCCCATGGAAGACACAGTTGCCAATCTCTTGATCAATCCTACAAGAACTTGAGAGCTTTTTCTCTCCATGTTCTGTGATATAACTCAGCTGGGTGTGCTTAATAAATGTTTATGTAATAGTTGAGTAAAAAAAATGGAAATATTAGGGTTTGTCAACCCAAGGAATGGGGTTTTACCTGTAGCATATAATATTTATTCATGTAACTTAAGAATTTTCTTTAACTTCTGGCAACCCTCTTTCCCCCTTCTTTCCCCATAAATATGTACAATACTGTGTCAATTAAAAATAATGATAAAAGTAAAAATGTGTCCTGACTATTAAACTTTGAATGAATTGTGAGTGGAAGTTGTGGGATTTTGTTCTCAGCAAACTTTTTATCAGGTCTGAATTATTTAGTTATGGACCTACCTGAAGACAGGAGCCGGATCTCAGTAAATGATCTAACAGTTCTGAAAACTCCCTTCCTTGAGAATTCTGTGATTTTTTTTTTTTTTTTTGAGTTGGAGTCTCACCGTGTCTCCCAGGCTAGAGTACCATGGCATGCTCACAGCCACCCCAGTGTCGACCTCCTGGGCTCAGGCGATCCTTCCACCTCAGCCTTCCAAGTAGTCAGAACTACAGGCACGTGCTACCATGCCCAGCTAATTTTTGATTTATTGTAGAGATGAGGTCTTGCCAAGTTTCCCGGGCTGGTCTCGAACCCTTGGGCTCAGGCAATCCACTCACCTCAGCCTCCCAAAGTGCTGGGATTACAGGCTGAGCCACCAAGCCCGACCAAATTCTGTGATTTTTTTTTTTATGACTCAGTATCCTAAGTTGCCAAGCAGATATGTCTGTGATAATTTTTTTTAAGTGTTTAAAAATTCACTTTTAGAAAACATAGTATAGGGTAGTGGTTAAGCTCACATACTCCATAGTTCGATTGCCCGGGGTTAAATCCTGGCCCCCACCTCTTATTAGCTGTGTAACTTTGGAAAATGACTTACTCTGTGCCTCAGTTTCTTCATAAAATAGAGGTAGTAATTGTATGAACCTTACATTACTGTTGTGAAGATTAAATGACAAATTCAAGAAAAGCACATAAAGTTTGGCGCATTTTGAGCGTTCACTAAGTGTTAGCTGTTGCTATTTTATTTTATTTTATTTATTATTATTATTTTTTGAGTTGGAGCCTCACTCTGTCGCCCAGACTGGAGTGCAGTGGCCGCTCCCGGCCACTGCAGCCTCGACCTGCTGGGCTCTGGCGATCCTTCCGCCTCAGCCTTCCAAGTAGCCAGAATTACAGGCATGCGCTACCACGCCCGACTGATTTTTTGATTTATTGTAGAGATGAGGTCTCGCCTGCCCAGGTGGGTCTCAAACCCGCGGGCTCAGGCAATCCACTCACCTCAGCCTCCCAAAGGCGCGGGATTACAGGCTGAGCCACCGAGCCCGGCTAGCTGTTGCTATTTTAAATAGAAAGTTCCCGTAATGTGTTCTTGCATGTTTGCAGGCTCAGATTATTAATGTAACACAGGGTGAAAGAAGGATAAGCTTAATGTTATGTGGTATTGAGTAATAACCAGATGAAGGCTTATCAGAAGGAGACAAGGGCCCCTAATATACCTCAGCAGAGATTTACAATACAGGTTTCATAAAGCATTACTGAATACTGTCTACATATCAGTCCCAATGCCTTATACTTTCTCATTTAGTATAATCTTCAGGTTCGCCCTTTGACTTCAACTCCATTTTAGAGGAGGAAGTTGAAGTTTAGAGAAATTAAGGGATTGTCAAAAAGCAAAAAGCTGGTAAATTCCAAGGGCAGAATTCATATGATCCCAAATAGATTTCTTTTTTATAGTGAATGAATTAGAAAATGATTCAATTTAAAACATACACACACACCCCCACACCACATTTATTTCACATGTAATGTTTCAGGAATGTGGAGTGGTGGTCAGAAATTGTGAAACTTTAAATTACACCATTTCATTTTGCAGTTGTAGGTTGAAGTGGAATAAAAAATACTCTTACCCAGCAATTCACATCTCCCTATTTCTGAATTGTTGTTTTTTGGGTCCTTTTATCAAACTGGTTGTTAGTGAAAGTGGCACTCCAAAGAGAGAAGAGACCCCTTCTTTCACAATTAGAACCCCTTTTTATTAATAGCCAGGTGAGCCAAGGGAATGAGGCAACTTTTAAAATCCTTGGTTTAAGTTCTTTTATATCATGAATAGAAGGTGCTGAAAAAAGTTTTTGTTTGATTTAAATTTTCCTTTTTTACTTTAAGCTCTAAACCAGAATAGAAGTCATCTTTCAGGACGTTTGATGCAATAGGATTTTGGTGAACTTAGGGGAAGAGGAGTGAAGCACTATATCCTTAATTATTATAAGGCTTACTTAGAACTTTCTCCTGTTTTTATTTTTCTGTTGGAAAATTCAGGGTTGGTGCTTCCAAGAACAAAAGGATATTTGCTTGGGACTAATGATGTTTCTTCAAGACAGTTGGGTAAAGGGATCAAAGAGCCATTATGAAAAAAAAAATTGAATTGAAAATCAGTTGGAAGTCACCTAAAGGTCATTTCATGATTATAAGTTTTTACAGCTATATTGAGATATAATTGACACATAATAAACTGCACATAAAGTATACAATTTAAGTTTTGACTTGTATAGACTTGTGAAACCATCACCACAGTTAAAATAAAGAGCACACACATCATGCCTCCAAATTCTCTCAGACCTCTTTGTAGTTTCTCCCTCCCACCCTTCTCTGGGACATGCCCTCCCTCATTCCCAAAAGACCACTGACCTGCTTTTGTCACTCTGGATAGTTTGCCTTTTGTAGAATTTAATATATAAATGGAATCATATCATATGCACTCTTTTTTTGGGGGGGATGTTTGGCTTTATTATTTAAACCCAGAATTATCTTGACATCTGTGTTGTTGAGTATATAAGTAGTTTATTCCTTTTTATTACTGTGCTGTATTCCATTGTACCGCTATACAACAGTTTTAAAAATTCACTCATCTGTTTATGGACAGATAGGCTGTTGCCTGTAATGTTAATTCAACCCATTTATTGTACTCATGGAGAAGCAGAGGGCCAAGGAGAGGAAGTTTTCAAAAAGGGGGTTTGTATATTTGGGGGGCGATGAGAAGAATGGCTTGTGAACTTGAGTCTCTGGCAGACTGCAGTTTGACTTGGCCTCTTTCACCTAGAATGGCCGTTCCTCCAACTCTGATTTTATAATAACATTAGGAACTTTAAGAAAGATTGTATAGAATTTTTATCTACTAATATATTTGCCTATACATATTTTTATTTATTGATAGATTCCTTTTTTGCTATAGACAAGAGATACCTTATATACTTGGAATGTGCGTTTCAGAGGCTAAGCTAACCCACGTCCATTCTAGACCAGTCTTCTCACCTAGATGCTTAATCTTATTTCTCTTCTCTCCTCAAGGACCTAGAACCTTCAGTTATCTCCTCTACCTGTTTTTTTTAGCCTCAGCCTATAATCTTGTGCGCGTCTCTCTACCCTCTCCTCTAAAGCCTATCCATCGATCCTGTGTAAGCCTCTAGTTCTCACCTGATTTGTTTCCTTTCTTTTGAGCAATGATTCTTGAAAAAGTAGCCTATAGTTGATGTCTTCACTTCCTCACTTTCCATTTCCTTGTTTTGAGTCCATTGGTCCCTTTCTCTGATGTACTTGGTGCTGCTGACTGACCCTGAAAGCTTAAACTTCTCTCTTGACCTCTGTGAGTGATCCTTTCCCTCCTTGAATTCTTCCTGCTTCTCCAAACATTCCTGATTTTAACCTCCATCATGAGCTCATCCTTGATCTTCTGCTCTTCTTTCGCTATCTTCTCTTTCTGGA